CCCAAAGCCTTGGGACCCTGTGCCCACATGGGAAACCCGGAAGAAGTTCCCGGCTTCAGATTGATACAGCTAGGGCTGTTGCAGCCAGTTGGGGAGTGAATCATCGGACAGAAGATCTTCCTCTCTGTTTCTCCTCCTCTCTGTATATATTTCTTTCAATAAAAACATAAATAAATTTTAAAAAAAAACCCTCAAAAAAAGTTTAGATTGGCAAGTAGATATCATTATTTACTTATTAGGTTTATTTATTTACATATTTGAAAATCAGTGATACAGAGAGAGAAAAGAGAGATCTGGTCTCTAGGTCACTCCCCAAGGGGGCCAGGCACTCCATCCCTACTGTGGTAGGCAGGGTCAAATGCTTGGGCCATTATCCAACACCTTCCCAGGATGCAGGAAACTGAAATAGAAGCAGAGCACTCAGGTATAGGAAGCTGGTACTGCAAGTGGAGGCTTCAGCCGTTGAGCTACAATGTCAGCACCAAACACTCCATTTCGAAAACAGACAGCGGGCACTTCACCTAGTAGACTATTTGTGTGGCAGGGAAGCACACCAAAGGATGCTTATGCTCACCAGCCAATAGGGAAATGGCAATTAGAGCCACAGTCAAATTCCACTGCACTCCACTGGAATCAATGGAAAGAAAGCAAGCCTGATAATATCATGACTCAGCAAGCATACAGAGTGGGTGAGTGTGAGGAGTGATTCCAACTTCCCATCTTGAACCCTGCGCCATTTCCTGCTTCCCCTCCCCCACACTCGGGAAATTTGCACCATTCCAGTTGTCTACCAATCAGATGTCACCTGGAGCCTTACCTGAGAATCCCACTCCCCAATCTGTCCGGCCCCTCCCCTGGTCCTCACCCACATGCCGGTGGCTCACATCATCTCAGTCACCAGTCCCTGGGGCCCACACCAGCCCACACAGCCCCTTCCCTCTCCTTCCCCTCTCCCCTACCCCTTCTCCTGGCTCTCCCTGTCCTCGTCCGTCTTCCCCCTTCCCCTGCCTGGCAGCCCTCATCCTGCCACCATGGCAAGAGATGTTTCTCTTCCTGCCCCCCAACCCCGCTCCCATCCCTACTCCGTTGGAATAAAAGGATCTTCTAATATCTCATCATGTCTGGTGTTTTCGGCTTAAGGTAAAAGGACCTGGCTGCGGGAATTAGCTGCATGTATTAGCTGCGTGTAAGAACGTTAAGAACTTCAAGTGTGTTTAAAACCTAACACTAAATGTGTCGTCCATTATTCACGGAAATGTGAAATGATGCAACTGATTTAGAAACCAGCGTGCAGTTTCTTACAAAGGTAAATATCCAGGTACCACAGGACCCAGCAATCTCACTTCTATGCATTGACCTACCAAAAAAAAAAAAGGTAATAAAAATCTGCATTCATACAGGAAGCTGCAGGTGAAGGTCACGGGTGTGCTGGGGGGTGAGGTGACCAGATGAGGCACATTCACACAGCGATGACCACTCAGCAACGCATGACACAGTCTCGGAGACACGGAGGTACATGAAAAAAGTCCAACTCTCACAGCCAAGTCTCTGATCCCAGGTGTAGGACGTTTGTATGCCTGCGGAGTGGGGCAGAACAGCTCAGTCCAGCTGGGCTTGGCGGGAAGAGGGTGGGACCTCAAAGGCCACTGGACTTTTTTTTTTAATGTCGGCCTGGGGGAGGAGGTCATTGTAGAACTGTTCTGCCCCCTGATGGTGGTAGTGAGGATTGCCATATATAGAATATAGTTCTACAGTTAAACTCAAGGAAATGTACACCAAAAACATCTTGTATCTACAGCAGGCAATGTAGCCAATGGGAGGACGTAGACAAAAGAAGAGAGTGCTGATGCTGGAGTTTGGGATCCTGTGTCATCTGATCCCAAAGAGATTTCGCAGGGTGAAGCCTCTGCCTCCCAGGTGGCCCTTCCCCACCCCCTGCCCCTGCAGCTCATGCAGGCGTTCTGATGGGCAAACGGAGAAGGTGCAGAAATGGGGACACGTCCCTTCTGATCACCCCAGGGAGGCTGCTGCTCCTCCGCTGGGAAAAGCGGCTCAAGTGATAAGCACTTTCTTCCCACCACCACCAGTGTGCGGTCCCCACATTGCTCAGGCTCCCCTCTTTCCCACGGCCACCTGCTTCCCAGCAACTGGTCATACACACACACACACACTCTGCAAAATGCCAATAAGAGGACACAGTGGACAGCCAGGAGAAACAAGACAGTCTCACCCCATAGCCAGGGTCCTGGTGTCTGACCCTGCCCTGTAACACACACACACACACATGCACACACACACACACACGCACACACACATGCACACACCACCATAGATCCATTCAGAAGAAAGATGAAACTATAACCCCACAGGACCCTGGTGACAGACCCTGAAGAAGGCAGCCTCCCTGTAGCCCGCACACGCATGCACACGCACGCACACACATGTACACATGTACTTATACCTGCCACCATGAACAGAGATTCACACCCTGACACATGCTTGGGTACACATATACATATGAATTTGCCATCACACGCACATAGTCACATATTCACACAGACACACACAGTAACACATGAACATACAAACATTGGCACATGTGCGCACACATACACCTGCTCTCACAGTACAACCACACATGCACGCTTGCAGTGACACATACCCTCATACACAGCCACGCATTCACACACATGTAAACACACAGACACACACTGATACGTGAAAGAACTCACAAAAGCATCTATCCTCACAGTCTCATACTCCACAACCACACATACGCCCCCCCCACACACACAGATGGATCCCTGGTCTGCTACCCACATCACCAAACTGAGCACACTTTCTGGCACACAGGGAACTCAGGGCTATGGGCTGCCCCCGACAAGGTTCTCCCTCTGCATCCCTGTGGAGGGGCCTGCGCTGCTGTGGCCCTGGGCCTTTGCTTGGGAAAGCCTCTTCTCCGTGCCCTTGTCCAATCTATTCCCTCTGCCATGGGGCAAAGGAAGGCCCTGACTGCAGGCATGCACCCTCCTCACAGCCAGGCACCACCAGTTGACAGCTCTCAGTGCCAGCTTCGAGAGCCGTGGGGACTCACACCAAGTCCTCCACTGTTCCCACCGTGTCTCCTGGGAATTGCCCTGCTGTCGGCCCTCCCCTGGGTCCAGCTGTTGCAACTCACAGAGTTGGGTGTGCTTTACAACCCAGGCATCTACTCTAGTAGAAGCACCAGGAGAAACCCACACCAGGAGGAAGTGAATGAGACCCATCAGGCTCTCCAGGATGTGCAGCCAGTGTCTGCCCAGAACCAGCTCTGCACAGACCGGCACCCTGCTGCGCTCCGTTCACGCCTCTGATCACCTGTTGGGTACTGTGGTCCAAATAATAACCCCAGATGAAGTCTCTGCCCTTGTTGCCCTGGGATGAGTAGATAGACCAGAAAAACTCCCCAAACCAATCACATCTGTCTTTGTAAATGGTCTTTGTAATTGGTGGTGTCCTCAGACTTTGGGAGACCACCCTAGGAGACACAGGGGCAGGGGCTGGGAAGACACTTCTGCAAAGTTCTTATTTGAACTGAGCCCCAGACAATGAGAAAAGAGCCAGCCCAAGCTTGCTCCAGTACACACAGAGGCTCTTAGATGGGTTTCCTCCATCAGAACCGCCCAGGCTAGAACCCAGGGGGGAGAGACCCCTAGCTATATGGGAACTGAGGCAAAGGACAAGTCCATGGGAATTTTGAGAAAGGTATTTTTGCAGGCAAAGAAAACAAGGTTAGGGGATAAGGAGTTTGAGAAAGCCTGTGGGTGGCAGGATGGGAATCTGACCTGGATCTCCCAGAGCACAGCCCGAACAAGCTCTCCTCTGCCTCGGTAGCAACTGCACGCGTGTGACAGCTGCCACAGCCTCACCTGCTTTCCGTGTGACCTCAGGAGAGAGACACTTGCCTTGTTCCAGAGCATCAGAGCAGGTAGGATCAGGCCACAGCAGGCCCGGAACCTCACACACCCTCACCCCACGGCACATCCTATCCATGCCGCCCCCTGGGCAGCCTCAGCTGGCTCCAGGAGGCACCCAGCTATGCTTCCAGACTTGGGCTCTGAGCCTCAGATTTGATTTTTGTTTTGCAGTCTGCAGAGTGGGTGGGTAGGAGATCCCGTTGCCCCGGTGCATGGGCTCCTTGTGGCCCGAGTCTAGCCATCTCCTGCCTGCTTGCCGAGCAGCTTCCTGCATTGCCTGCTCACCACTGCCTTCCGTTCTGACATCACCAGGTCTTGTCTGAGCCAAATTTTCCCTCCTTAGAATCTCTTCCCGCAGCCTAAGGGGCCTGGGATTTCATCCCAGGGCAGGAAGCATGGACGGGTGTCTGCAGGCAAGAAAAAGGGCTTGGGCTTGCACCGTGCTGCTCTTTCCTGACTGTAAGTCAATCATGGCCTCCCCGGGCCTCAATTTCCACATCTGCAAAATGGGAACTCTTGGGAGTTAAGCACCTGGAAGCTCCAGGCAAGGGAGCCTGACACACATCAGGCCCTCCGGAAGCTGGGGTGGGCAGGCCTTCCTTCACCTGCTGCTGCTGTGGCTGGCGTGGTTGCCATGGTCAGCTGTGGTGCACAGGCCAGGCCACTGCCTCTCAGGCAGACAATGGTCTGGATGGAGGAAGCTTTGGCCTTGGCAATGGCAGCGGCACCTCTGGGGGTTGCATCTTGGTTCCCATTCTGATCTGTATTATTATAGGCGCTGCCTCAAGAGATGAATTAGTGCCTAAGCCAGTGAGACCAAAGCAGACACTCAGGGCAAGAGAAGAGAAAAACTTTTTAGCAAGGTGTGTGTGTGTGAGAAACAGACAAGTGACCCCGAATCCAAGTGTGCCCCATTGGCAGCCTGGGGTGAGGCTGAGCAACCACCTCTGCCAGCTCTCAAGTCTCTGGAAAATGGTCTGGCTGCTGGTGGTTCTCACGCTGAGCCCTCGCTGCTCCGGTCCGCGCACCGGCGCTGGGGCTCACCCAGACGCCTGGCCCGGGAGGAGATGAGATGAGAGACCCCGTGCGTCTCTCCGAAGCCGAATCGCAGCCCAAGACTCGCTCCATGTCCCACCCCGGGACCCCCAGGAGACGGTGGCAAGCCGGGGTTCCTCCGTGCCTGCTGGCGGGACAGAAGAGCGACGCGGACGGGACACTGACCTGGGAAGCCCGCAACGCGGGGCAGGCGAGCAGCAGCAGCAGCAAGAGGAGCGCGCGCGGAGAGTTGAGCACCATCTTGCCCCCTCGGAACCTGGCTGCTAGGGAAGGGAAATAACTTTGCGCGCCTTCCCGGCTGAGTGTGTCCCAGCGATGCCGCAGCTGTCCCTGCAGAGAGCCGGGCGCCGCGCGGTCCGGGGTGAAGCGGCTCGAGCAACCGAAGGATGCCGGAGACACCGGAGCGCAGCGCGGCCCCTGGGCAGTAAGGGACTCGGGAGCAGGCGGACACAGATCTGGGGTCCCGGTGCGCGGCGCGCCGGACCCTGGAGCACCCGCGGCTGCCCACACGCACGAGACAGTCCCAAGCGAGGCGGGGAGGCGCCAGCCTCTTGGCCAAGGCCAAGGGAGGAGGGGCTGCCCGGCCAGGAATGCGCCTGGGAGCGCGCCCAAGCCGCGCGGCTCCCCGAGGAGGCCGGGCGCGCCGCCGAGCCCGAGTGGGCATCCTGCTGCCCTCACAGCGAGGGGAGGCCGGGGACCTGCGCCAGCGTCCGCGCGCGAGTGTGGCTGACCGAGAGCCCACCCGGGCCCCGTCTGCTCCTGTTTGTCCCCATTTCCCAACAGACAAGACCGAGGTTCTGAGTTACCTGATGACAAGTAGCAGAGCGAAGATCCAGACCTTAGCTTGGCTCAAGTTGAAGTCTCCGTTCCCAGAATAGGACTGGTTTGGGCAGAAGATGGGTTTCATCAGAGTGGCCTGAACTACTAATGTAGATTAATGTCTTTCAAGGAATGCCGTGGGGGCTCAAGTTGTAGCTTAGCCAGTAAAGCAGTCTTCTGTGGCGTAGACATCCCATTTGGATCCCGTTGCAGTTGCTTCCCATGCAGCCCTCTTCTTATGTCCTGGGAGAGCAGTGCAGGATGCTCCAAAGCCTTGGGACGCTGCACCTGGTGGGAGACCTGGAGCAAGCTCCTGGCTTTGGATTGGCTCAGCTCAACTCTGACTATTGTGGTCATTTGGGGAGTGAGCCAGCAGATGGAAGATCTTTTTTTCTGTCTGTCCTCCTCTCTATAAATCTGCCCTTTCAATAAAAATAAATACACTTTTTTTTTTCTTTTAAGAAAAGGCACCTGGAAAACATGATGCACCTTCTCTCAGAGTGAAGGCTTCTGACGGTGACCCCGTGGAAGGCATAGTGCACCTGTTGGGCCCCTGTGCGGAGTCTGGCTTGGCTCTCCCCCCACTGGGAGCTCCAGGAACAAGGTTGCCTCTGGCCACCATTTATTCATCACTGGGTACCAGAAAGGAAAGCTGGAGTCCCAACTTGGGCCATTGGAGCTGCTTTGAGAAAACACCGTGGGCTGTGTGGCTTTGGGAACAACTCACAGATTTCTCACAGCGCTGAACCTACAAGGTGAAGATAGATGTTAGCGTATCTGGTGTCTGGCCGGGGTGGATTCCAGGCGCACAGGTAGTTGTGGCGCACTTCCAGGTGCACTCCTCCCTGGGCATTGCTTGCACAGCAGACTGGCAAACTCTCTGGGGCCTTCCCCATGACAAGGACACTGAGCCCATTCACGCGGGCAGCTCAGCCCCGGTGCTCTGACTGCCCTCCTCCCCCACTCCCACCCCGTCCAGGTCCTGCCTCCTACACCTGGAGCATCGTGGTTTTCACACAGGAATTTTGTGGAGATGCCAACATGCAGACCACAGCCAGTACCTTGGGAAACTTGGGGGCCTGGTGTGGGCTGGCCACCCAGGCACCCATCACCCTGCAGCCATCAGCCTGCTATCGGAGGCAGCAGCAGGGGCAGTGGCAGGGCCCAGGTGGTCTTATTGGCATTCTTCCTTGAGCATGCTAAAGAGTGCCTGGTGAGGACACTGCTTGTCTGTCTCCTGGGGGAGGAGATGGCCCAGAGGCTGCGCGAACCTGTGGCTTTGCGCCTTGTTCTTGCGTAGGTTTGCTGTTGTGGGTCCAAAGCCCAGGGTCTCCCTCCTGGTCTGAGTTCTGCCCTTGTGGATGAAAGGTTTCTTTCTGGTCGGTGTGGCTGTGTTGATTTGTTGTTTTATCCCAACTTATGTTTCCATGGCAGCCCACACGGGGGGGCGGGGGGGGTGCCCAGGCACTCCCAGCCCTGCCTGGCTGTGTGAAGCCACCTCTGTGCTCCTGCCCCTCTGTGGAGAAGGTGGTTGAGTAACTTGTCCAGGGCCATGTGACCTCAGGTCAGGCCCCACCTCCAGGACAGACAATCTTGGACTTGATGTCCTCTTTCACATTGAGGATTCCCATGTTATTCTTGAAAATCCTCAACCATTGGATTTCAGGAATTTTATGCGCAGAATGGGGTTTTTCCATTGGTTTCTCTTTCCTAGTGAAGTTTTAGCTTGGATTTTTACTGTCTTGGTACTCATTTTCATTTGTTAACTTTGCTCAGTGCTCGGAGTCTAGGATGAAGTGGTCTTGCAAGGTCCAGCAGTCCCTTCTCTCTCCATCCTCCACACTCTGGGTCTGCAGTCACTGACAGATCCTCTCACAGTCCAGGACCTGCCAAGCTTGTCCAAAAGCCAAAGCTGTGTGTTCTGCACTAGGCATGCCAGAACTTCACCTTCAACCTGATGAAATGGGCTTATCAGCGATTTTTCCCCCCTTCTAGTTCCTCTCTAGTTTTCTAGAATATGTCTCTGGAATGTTGGGGAATTGGTGTGGTGGGGGCTGACAGGTCTAAAGAAGATACTCATTGTGGTATAGCAAGTTAAGCCCCTATCTGTGACACCAGCATCCTATAGGAGCGTCAGCTGGATTCCCAGATGCCATACTTCCAATCGAGCCCCCTCCTAGTGCTCCTGGAAGAGCAGCAGAAGATGGCCCAAGTACTTGGGTCCTGTCACCCATGTGGAAGATCCAGATGGAGTTTCAGACTTGTGACTTCCACCTGGCCCCAGCCCTAACCCTTGTGGCCATTTGGGGAATGAACCAAATGTTTTTCAAGTTCTTTGGTGGGAGACACTGCCTCCCCTGGGACAGAAGTACTGGTATGCTTGTGACCTTTGTGTGATGTGGGACTACAGAAGTGAGAACGGAAGCCTTGTTGCAGAAGTATGTGTAAGATCCGACCGGGGCAGCACCCAGTCTGAAGCAATCATTCCCTAACTGTGCTGTGAGGTTCCCCCAGTCCCCCAAGGTCACTACACTTTGAAGTTCACAGGCTTCTCACTTATCTGCCCCAGGTTGCATCTTGCTGTCAGCTCACTCGCAGATGCCACATCTCCTCCTTTGCTTTTTTTTTAACCTTCCATCTTGCTGTGGTTTTCCCATTAAACCTCACCGGGCCCTCCAAAGGAGCCCAGGAACAAGGCCTGGCATGTTAGCCTGACCCATGACGACAAGGGAGGAAGCAGGGGGGTGGAATCGTCTAGCAAGACAGCAATGACTTCATCTAATTCACTCATTACACAAATATTTACCGAGTGCCAATTTCAGGCACTGCCCCATGCCAAGCACTACATAATGCTTTCACATTATATCTGGGGCTCTGGCCAACAGGACTGTACACTCTTGTGCTGAACATTGGCTGCTTATGTGGGATGCCAGGACAGCCAGAAGGGCCTGTGGCCCCTAGAAAACCATTGACAATGGTGCAAGACAAAAACCTATTGCAGAACACACGTCATTGTATGATGAGTAAAGACCAACAGCTAATTAACAGCTGCCCAGAGGAGGAAGACTCTGGGAATACACCTGGGCCAGACTACGTGGAAGTCTAGATGCTGCTGAAGGAATGGGGGCGGGGGCGAGTTGTAGCCATGGGATCACACAGTGTTTCAGTCCAGACACAGCAGGGCCAAATCTTGCCCCCTGGGTACCTGCCACTAAGACCTTGCAACCTGTTTAATCTCTGCAAGCCTGTTTCTCCATTTTTATAATGGGAATAAAATAATTTTTAAAATTATAATGTGATGTGTCACAAGTGCCTACTAATGCATGGCGTAAAATAAATGCTTAGTTAAAGGGACACTGCTTACACAGAGTCTGATGTTGCTTCTACAGGACAGTATAGCAAGGGAGACGACATTTCTGGAGCTGTTCCCTCTACTAAGCACCTCACAAGTGTCCCCATGTAGTCCTCATTACAACCCAGTGCACTGGAGGCTGTTAAGATTCCCATTTTACAGACTGAGAGACTGAGGCTTAGAACGCTTCAGTAACTTGACTGAGATCAAACTGAAACGTTGAATCAGTGTTGAACAAAATAGGAACCTTGGGGCCCGGCGCGATGGCGCAGTGGTTAAGGTCCTCGCCTTGCACGCCCAGGATCCCATATGGGCGCCGGTTCTAATCCATGCGGCCCCACTTCCCATCCAGCTCCCCACCTGTGGCCTGGGAAAGCAGTCGAGGACAGCCCAAAGCCTTGGGACCCTGCACCCATGTGGGAGACCCGGAAGAGGCTCCTGGCTTTGGATTGGCATAGCATTGGCCGTGGCACTCACTTGGGGAGTGAATCATCGGACGGAAGATCTTCCTCTCTGTATATCCGCCTTTCCAATAAAAATAAAATCTTAAAATAATAATAATAATAATAATAATAATTAGGAGGAACCTGAAACAAGGTGTAAGAGAATCCTCTGCTAATTTGCAACTCTTCTGTAAATCTAAAATTAAATCCAATGAAATAAACATTCCAGTATAATTTCATATTTCATCTTACACATGATAAATTAGTCTATTTTCTTAAAAGATATGTTTACTTAATTGGAAGGCAGAGTGATGGGGGAGAGAGAGAAAGAGCGAGCGAGAGATCATCTCTCTGCTAGTCCACTTCCCAGACGGCCTCCGTGGCTGGGACTGTGCCAAGTCACAGCCAGGACCAAGAACCCAGTGCCACCCTCATCTCCCACGTGGGTGCAGAGCCTTCCCAGGCAGATCAGCAAGGAGCCGGAGCAGAAGCAGAGCAGCCAGGACTGCAACCGCTACTTGAGTGTCACAGACAGCTGCTTGACTTGCTACACCAACACTGGCCCTGATGAATTACAATCTTCAAGATTTTTTTTTCCACCTAACCTAATTTATCAAATTTAATGG